CAGCGCGCACACACACGGGTAATCGTAAACAACCCTCTCCTTAGAGAGGGAGTTTCCGCTAGCTGCTGACTTTCCTACCCCAGGCCGGGCGCAGCGCCGTGTTTAGAAATAGCATAAACAAGGGGAAAGTTGAGATTATTTTCCCCCTTCCCTCACGGCCTGTTTTAGCTAATTAGCTTGTTTGCCAAGAGAGAAAGTGCAACTTTCCATCGTACATCAATACAATGTTTCCAGCTGTAGCCAATTTAAATGATCATGAGCCTGTGACAATTTTTACCGATTTACACTTCGGAATTTCCACCGCCGCCGAGCTGCGGGGCTTGCGGCTTCTCGCAGCCTCTGCCTCGCACAGCGACAGGACCTTCTCCTTCCCGTTTCCCCTCAGACAGCGAGAATTCAGGTCTGCGCTAAATCAAGTCAGTTCTACCCATAGTGTCTATAGCACGCCGAACGTCTGGCTAACAGGTTTTGATCAATGCTGTGAGCTGCGCTGGCACCGAGGGCTCAGCACGGAGGGGACATTTCGGGCGGGCTGTGACAGATCTGACCCTCAGCCGCCTTCGTGTCCCGCACTATCCACGGGCTTTTTGCCACTGCAGAGCCCCTCCGTAACTTTAGGAAATGAAGAAAGTAAAAAGAGTCTAAGTCCTGAGCTTCCCCCCAGAAGTTACTTTATTGTTTCTGAAGAGCAATACAAAGCCGGTGGGAGCAGCTTCTGCTTTCACCCCACCTTTAATCCGCCGGCGAGCAGTGGTTCCCTTCCGTACATTTCAATCAACTGCACCTTCATGTGCCTTTTCCGTTGCGGAAACGTTCGGACGTTTCCGAACTTGTGCGTGTATAAAAAAAACACCTTCCCCTTTATGCGCGCTCCGACCTCCCCCTCGCCTTTCCCAGGGCTCCGGAGGCCCCCGGCCGGCGGGGACACAGCCGAGCTCACGCCGCCGCGGCCCAACCGCCCTCGGCGTCACGCTGGGCGCCGGTGCCGGGGCGGCATCTGGGGAAAGAGCCTCGGCGCCGTCCCAGCCAGGCACGTCCCA